ATTAATTCTCTCATCTACTGAAATATCGGCAGGTTTGGCTTTACTGAAAGCAAGTTTATCAGCATTGCACGATCCTCCCGATAAAATTCGGTTTACAAGTTTCATTAAAGGTTTTTGTATAGTATTTGACGCCCCCATGACGGGTTCATTTTCTAACAAGACAGGGGCACTTTTCAGTTTCCCTGCTGCTTACACTGCCAGTCAGAAGTGTTTTGACTCCCGTTTTGATAAAAATCTTGTCTACCACCTCCACGACGAAAATTCCTAGGATCAGGTTTTGAGCGACAAAAATAATAAGTATGTCCTTTTCGACCACAATTATAGCAAACAGCGTCGCCAAAACGAGACTGGGAACTCCTTTGCTGAAAATTCTGGTTTGAGCGCTGATTATAACCACTGGGTCTAGTGTTGATATTGCTTCCCATAAATTCACGAAATTCGTCTCTAATAATTTGCTTCATCTCAGACTTGCTCAAGTGAGGGTTTTGATCTGAAGCTGGACCCACAGCACTAATTGACTTATCCTTAGGGTTGATTGCTTTTGAGAGTTCTTCCAAAATTTGCGCTGATATTTCCTTTGGGTTAAAGTCTGCGCGTTTAGTCGACCCTTGTAATACTGACTATTTTAGCTTAGCGAAGTTTTCTGCCGATTCCAAATTTTCAGGTTGTTGCAAAACAACGTACTAGCGAATCTCGGGAATGAGTCCCTAGACAAAGTAGTATGTCCACTCAGAATTGGGCAAATTAATTCTCGCACAATGTGTTCGAAGGCTATAGGCATAATCTGCAACCGATTCTTTCTCTAGTTGTTGTCGTTGTCCTAGCGCCTGTCTTACGCGCCACTCACTAGCACCGGAGGCAAAATGTGTGACTAATTTCTCAGACAATTCTTCGAAAGACATCTCGTCGGCCCTTGGCAAAGTTTTAAACCAAGTGCTAGCGTAGGCCTTTAAATAAAGAGGAAGCCCTAATGCTAAACTATCGTTGCCCAACCATTTAGTTTACCGGCCCTCTTATAATTCCTAACAAATTCATGAACGTCTTCGGATTCGTCGCCTCTAAAAATTGGAAACGTAACTGACGATTTCACACCGCCGCTTCTATTTTGTGAATTAACCGAAGCTTGCATTCGTTCGACTGCTTGGCATAACTGATTAACTTGGTCTTCCATTTCTGCATAGGTTGGTGCGAGAGACAATTGATTTGAGTCTAAAGAATTATGTCGACTATCAACAACCGAGTCGTTACGAGCTTCGAGAGAATCTTCGCTTACATTTTCACGATCGGAAAGATTTTCTCTGGTCTCGTCGCTCTCATAAATAAGATATTCTTCGGAGTCAGTACTTTGGCTACGGGTAAAAGAAGAAACTAGAGAACATTCGCTAGGCGTAGGAATTCCACTAAACGCCTTTGATTGTGCGTCAGCCCTCGGTGATCTATTAGCTGATTTAAAAAGTGAACGAAAGAATGGTACTCTCGATTGCTGAACGGGTGGAGGAGGGGCTGGCCACTCATTCGAAACCGAACCTACAGGTTACCCATATTTCCTTGGACATTGCGTGTTAATTGTAAATAATTTTCTTATTTCATTGCGAATCCCTTCTTTTTTTTTGAGACTTTGGTTTCATACAAAAAGGCATTCTGAGTTTTAGGATATTCCGTCGTTCCACATCATAAGATATTCCACCATTCCTCCGTTCCACCGTTCGTCCGTTCCATTATTCTGTTGACTCAAGGCTTTCTCGCTTCGCAAATTTAGCGGCCCTTTTCGGCATCAGTCGCAGATTCAAACAGCAAAATGCCCTCTTTTCAAAGCTTCCATGTGCAGATCACATTTATTGCAATTGTTGGGGGTTTTACAACTCGCTCGGCCGAATTAACCGGAGGTAACAAGACTCTGGACTCTTCTCTCTTTTATTCTTCTCTTCTCTTTTTAGCGAGGATGCCCACGTATTAAATATATACAAAAATCGCAGACATGTTTAAGTTAGCTGACCGTGGGAGTTTCCATAGTGTATCCATTCTATTTGCAAAAGGGGGGAAATTGGGTGGCTCGCTCCGAAGTACTTGGCGACCACCAAGGAACCAATTAAACGCCAACGGTTGAGCCGCGCACAAGAATCGCGCACGCAAACAGGAACTTCAGTGTGGGTAAAACCCAAGGTCAGCTTTACCAACCCAAACACGACCACCTATGAATCCAATTACTCTCAACCATAAGAGGCGATTAAAATGCATGTCTAACACGGTAATTAGGAAATCCGCGAACTGAGCCTAGTTCAAGTACATACTAAAATAAAAGACCAAAACTATAAATCTACCAAAACAACACGTAAGCGCAAAAGGCAAGGCTTAACAAAACAAAAGCTAAACTGAAAAAGTCTTAAAATAGCAACTTCCAATTTACCTCACAACACAATATTTCTGCAAGCCGAAAGTTTTGATTTAATTATGCGTCGGTGGATGCCACTGTAAAATTGTTTTGGGATGTTTATGGTCTTCAGGAGACGTTAATTTCCCACGCACAAGATTACTGTATGATGGATGTCCTCCCCTGGGGTGGGATGGGTGGGTAACAGGACCCCCGTTGATACCAGTGTTTACTACACTGAAGGAGCTACCTGTACAAATATAGATGTCTACTCTACTTTTGAGGTGCCACGGCAAGATCTGGAAAGAATATATCATCGAATCTACATAATTTGCTTATTTCAGCGGTAAAATGCTCTCTCTTCATGGAGAATGCACCGATCCCACTTGCTAAGATATTTCAGTTCTGCAAGGAAACTTTTGTCATGCATGCAGTTTTAAATCTCGCGGAATCCTGAACGATTGTGAGATGTCTATCGCTTTTTGCTGTCTTCCGTAGTGTCACTGAGGAACTGAAAACCAAATGTGCTCGTGACTGTAAACTGTTTATCGAGTGCGAATGTCGACCTACTAAGACATTCCGAAAAAACAATAAGTAGCACCGTGATACATGGGGAAACATTGGGTCAAGATCGGGATTCTGGGGCTTATACTATTTTGCGAAACGAAACGAAACGAAACGAAATTGTACTATTTTGCGAAACGAAACGAAACGAAACGAAATTTTGCGAAATGGTGTTTTTTCGCCTTTATTTAGCAAATATGTCCTCTTCGTCCGAAACAAAATGTTTTCACTAATAAAATGATCAATGTTTCTAAGAGCCTGCTCACCTCTCATTTTATTAACCATAGTAGAACTCGTTTCGCAAAGTAGTAATTTTGACAGAATTACTATTTTGCGAAATGGCGTTTTTTCGC